TTTTAATCTTTTTTTCCTTCTAATTTGTTATTATTTGGTGCAGGCACGAAACATACCAATAGAAATACATTGCTTCCAAAATCGAATATTGAATTTTTTTATAAAAAATATATTTTGTAATCTCTTTTTACTTCTAAGTTGTTATTATTTACATTCCTTTAAAATCGTTCTGTGTGACACAAAAAAAAGAAGCGAAAATCATGTTGGTGAACACGAATCAATAGATTCATTTCGTGACTATAACACGAAATGCCGTGAGACTATGTTGCATCGTCAAACTGCTAGATAAGGGCTAAAAATCCTAGAAGCTGAATTAATGTATATTACTGGAGCTTAGGGCCTCATTTTAGTTTTGGATGTGCCTGTCATGTCAAAATCTACTAAATTAACCGAATGCTAACAAGTTAGGGGGGAAGAAGAAAGAAACGTACATATCTCAACCCAAACCATAATCTTAAAGTAACAAAACATAAATAAACCCTTCAACACTAGCTATCTTCTTTGTTCCATCCTCTAAATGTATATCCGGCAGTTTAAAAAACATCCAGATCAACTGACAACAACAACAGGAGATATAAATTGAGTATTTGGGCGATAGCTTATCTCTGTTTATTGTTTTATAGTTCTCTTCTGTTGTGTCCAGTTGTTCTTTTTAGGCCCTGAACAAAGCCACTCATGCTGTGGTGACAGACAGCTACGTTGACAGGCCACAGTCTCTGAGCTCACATGCTTTTTGTGGCTCTCGGAGGAGTGCCTCCCAAAAAAGACGCTGCATCATGGGGCCCACACTTTGGTACGTTCCCCTCTGATCCCTCTCTTAAGGCCAGAACGGCAGCTGGAGAGATTAGACAGGAGAGGAGAGGACACACACAACACAGTCATAGCAGTACGAGAGGCCAGGATAGATCCGGTTCAGACTGGTGTGCGTTCGTACTTCACCCAGAACCATTCACCTGAACTGGACCTCTTATGACCGTGGATAGCTAACTCACGTTGGACCTTTTGTTGGACTCTCTATACCGACACATCTCGTTCATTTTGGGATTCAGTAACGTACAACTCTAGTGTTTCTGCGGTTCAAACGCTCCGGTCATGAGTTTTTTCGGGTACCGCAGAGAGTTGAGTAAGTACGAAGATGTCGATGAAGACGAGCTTCTGGCTTCCCTCAGCCCTGAAGAGCTGGCCGAGTTGGAAAAGGAGCTCGTGGACATCGATCCTGACGCCAACGTGCCCATAGGACTCAGACAGAAAGACCAGACGGACAAGACCCCGACGGGCACCTTCAGCAGAGAGGCCCTCATGAAGTATTGGGAAAATGAGACCCAGAGAATATTGGAGGACGAGATAGCTGGAGGAAGCCCCAAACCGGTCAGTATTGATGTTTAATTAGAATAGCTTGGCATTTCTACAATGTGCTAGAGGCCTAAACGGCTTGTTTGAAGGTGTATCAGATGGAAACCAAGACAAAAAACTTTAAAAAGTTAAAAGTAAGAAGCAATTTAAAGGGGAAATAAGAGGAGATTCATAACTTTCTTCCACTGTTTCTTCAAAAAACATATGCGACCATTTAGCTCAATAATATACATGTCTTTAAGAAAACTAAAAGGTACAGCTTTGCATTTCAAACACTAACAAAATGTGATCAAAATACAGGATGAAGAACAAGAGGAGTGTGTGACAGAAGAAAACAGCGGGGAAGAAGATGAAAAAGATGTTGAAAACGAGAAAGAAGACAAGAAGGAGAAGGAAGAGGAAGAAGAGGAGGAGCCGGATGAAGAAGAAGAAGAAGAAGAAGTAGAAAGTGAGGAAGAGGAAGAAGCTGTAACAGAGGAGGAGGAAGAAGATGAGGAAGAGGAGGAAGAAGAAGATGAAGAGGAGGAGGATGAGGAACAGAATAAAAAATCTGAGCCTGAACCCTCAAAGGATTTTGGGGCGCTGAGTTTAGCACCAATGCTACTGAGGCCACAGAGGGCGGAGCCTATTAGACTGACTCCTCCCCCTCCACCTGCCGACCCCAACGCCACCGGAAACCCCACCGTTGTTGACGAAGCTCTTCAACAAGCTTTGAACAACAGTCCTGAACTCACGGAGGTCAATCTCAACAACATTGAAGATATCTCTCAGGTACGAATGCAGAAATTCACTGATGTAAACAAACGAAAATCAAAGAAATAAGACAGAAATGAAATAAAAAAATATAACTTCCGCTAATCTTACACAGGGAATGATCCAAGGCTTGTTTCATACATTTATTTGTTGATCCAATATCATCCAAAAGTACAATTATCACGTTTCCAATAATTAATTGCCCTGTGCCTTTTCTATGGCACGCTTGTTTCACCTTGGTAAAAGAAACATGTGCCTGTACTGGTGCGCTAATCCCACCAACACCTGTCTCCAATATATAAACAATAACAGCAAACAAATCTCGAACCATTAAATGACATAACGCAACATATAGCTCCAACAAAACCTTTAACATTTCCCATGATCCCCTGTTTCTAACTTAGCTTTGAGATTTAAAGTGTATGTTGAGCTTCCTAGCATGCTGGTCTTTGCTGTTGGGTAACGTTTGGATGTACACCAGCTTATTTTTAGAACCGGGCATCTTGTCATGGTTGTGTAACTGATAGCATAGTTACATCTTTGGCAAAGCCCACATATTATGATTGGAAAATTATCAAAATAATGGCGTCCACAGCTTTGACAAGGAGTCTGTTTTCAGTAAGATCTGGAGGTTTGAATGCTGATCAGAGATGGCAAAAGTACACACATCCTTTACTCAAGTAGAAGTACAGATACTTGTGTTTAAAAATACTTTGGTAAAAGTAGAAGTACTGACTACATTTCTTTACTCAAGTAAAAGTAAAGAAGTTTGGGCTTTGTAATGTACTTAAGCAAAAAGTACCCATAACTAGCAGCTGTTTTAAAGAGTACCTGACCTCCCTTTATATTAATAGAACAATAATGTCATTGTTAGCTAATGAATGTTTCCATGCTGAACAACGGCAACATGACAACGTTTTCATTGGTCCCTCTTCTTTAGAGAAGACCAGGAAATGATGGATACACGGATCGTGTTCAAATTAGGGCCGGGACTCGATTAAAAAAATTAATCTAATTAATTACAGGCTTTGTAATTAATTAATCGCAATTAATCGCATTTTTAATCGCATATAAATATTTGACCTGAGAACAGTGAGAAGCAATTTTTTTCACATGGATTTTAGTATACCATTGAATAATGACTGAATACATAAGCTTAAGCAACAAAACATTGTTTATTTTTTTCAAGGAGGTTCTTAACCAAGAACAACAGAAAAGTGCAATTTTTGCCATAAAGTGTAGCAATAGCATATTTAGGAATATAGTACATTTCAGAGATCAGGTAGCCTATAGGTAGGTAGACCTTCTGTAAACTATAACACTTTGTTTTTTTAAGTAAAACACAATACTTTCAAGTACATTCAGAACATTGGAAACCCTGACTATTAGAAAACATCTCTCTGTTGCTTCAGAGGCCATAACAGACTTTGTTGATTTACCAACAGTTGATTTAAAAAATCTAATCAATTTCAGTCTAACTCTCTCAATAACCTTGGCCAAAACAATAAACAGTTCAACATAAAGTGCCAGTTGCACCAACAACGTAATAAATAGTTAAACATAAAGTGCCAGTTGCACCAACAACATAATAAATAGTTCAACATAAAGTGTACCATTTAAAATAAAATAAAAAAGTAGCCAGTGATTGACCTCAATCCCTCCTATTCTTCCAATATCCTGATGAAAAATAAAATCTCTCTGTTGCATAGGCCACTGTTTGATCAACGCGAAT